ATAATCATAACACGGTACTCGTTGTTGTTTTTGTTTTGCTCTACAAGATTTTACGGCAATTTGTTTCCTAATCCAAGCAAGCCGGCGGTTTTCCAACTCCAAACCGAAAAACTTGTCATCGTGGATTAAGTAGAGGATTGAAACTCGGATCGATACCTAGTGAAAGTAACTTTTACTTGTGAACGAGAAACCAAAATATTGTTTATTTTGCCTGTTGGAAGTAATCAATTATAAGAAATTGGCAGCTTCCACTACCATTGAGTGAACTACCGTCATTCGAAAGCTGCTGAAAATTCAGGGATTCAAAAAGAAGAAAGATCCGGTACCTACATCAACTCAACTCAAATATATCTGTAATGACATTTGTCTAGCATGGTATCCAGTAATTGTTTCTTGTAAAACAAGAAAAAATAAAATGCTTGTTAACAGCCATAACATTGCTAGATGATCTTGAACGTGTAGAGCTCGAGTAAATCCGAAGGTTGAGAAGTAATCCTGTATACTGAGGGAATCCGTTCCTGTCGAAAAGAGTAGAGCATGACTTGGAAGAACATCTAATGAACATCGAAATCTTCGAATCAATTTTAGCACAGATAAAGTTTAATTTTGAAAATTGAGAACAATTTCTTTCTATTATATGCTTGAAGTCTTGAATACCCATCCGCGAATCGTTCTGTTTAATATTTCAGGTCAGATGTTGAAACTGTTGACGTTTTTTTACGACACTCGCTTCGTTGTCATGCGCGACAGTCTGTTTTTATTCGTACTCTCGTGTTCTACCGTCGTCTCCCTTACACTACGCAAATGGTAGAACAACATTCGAGCAAAAAGAATATTTTCAAATAACGATCATACGACATGTGTGATTTCATTCTAATATCTCAATTTGGTGTAAATTAAACCATTTCTGATCAGAAATGTTATTTTTAGGACATCATTGCTTGTTATTTTCAGAATTCACACAAGCACAACATCAGCACAAGCACAAGCACAACATTATGAGAAAAACTAAAATACATACATTCGTGGCGGTCTTCGGCCACAGTGTCGTATGACAGAGCCTGTCATATGACATTTTAATTTGGTACTGTAATTTGATAGCTTGTTTTGCAAGTGTCAGAAGCAAAGACAGTCAATTATCACAGAAAATATGTCGACTACGGTGACCACTTACAAGACAGTTTCGGGTAAAGGAAAATATCGAGAAGCAAGATACCGTTTTCCGCTTTGCAGACACTCCAAGGGTTCGCCTGGCTATTACGTTACGATTTCTCGCTACTGGTGATTCATATCGATCCCTTGAATTTCTGACAAGAGTGTACCGCAAGACTATCAGTAAAATAGTGCCTGAAGTATTGCATGCTATATACAATGCTCTCGAGCCAAAATATTTGAAGGTATTTTTCTTTTAATTTATATTTATATTGAATTTATTTCACGTGCGATTTCAGATGCCATAAACTATTGGTTGCAAATAGCACACGAATTTGAAAGAACATGGAATTTCCCAAACCCAGTGGGTGCAATGGATGGAAGACATTTCCGCATAAAAGCTCCTGCAAATTCCGGATAGGATTTTTTTAATTACAAAAGTTTTCATAGTGTTGTGCTTCTCGCAGTGGTAGATGCCTACACGAGATTCCTGTACATAAACGTAGACGGCAATGGTCGCACTTCTGTGATGTTATTTATAAGAATTCTGATTTGTATGAAGCACTTGTTCAAAACAAGTTGCATTTTCCGCCTGCTAGACAGCTAGGGTCCAACGTCATGAAAATTCCATATGTTTTCATAAGAGATGATATATTTGTACTGGACAAGCATATGATAAAGCCTTATAATAGAAACCTTAATCTGACAGTGCCACACAAAATATTCAACTATAGAATTTGTCGAGCCAGAATGACTGTACAAATGGCCTTTGGTAGGTTAGTTATTTAGTTAGTCGGTCCTATCAACTTTGATCGATTCTCTTCATCGACTTCCTCTTTGGATTGCCACGACCGTGTTACGATATTTACGGATATTTTCGACTCAGTTCGATTGAAGAAGCAACAATCTATCATCTAATACGACAAAGACGATAGAACATGTTTTAGTAGCTGTAATCAAGCTGAACATTGCAAGTTATTAGCGAAAGAGAAAATCGACGAAGAGAATCTGTCAATGATACTTAGGACCCAATGCAATGTTCAGCTTGAATTATTTACGAAAAATAAAGTCGCTTAAGAGAATCGATCATTGTAGGCTGGTCTATTTGAAAAGTGACACGAGATTTAAAGTATTTAGATGGCAGTAAAAACAAGGCCCGTTAGTCAAGTTTATATTATCTTTATGCTTTTGTTATGTTATGAGGTAAAGATAAAGTTAAAAGGAAAATTTATCCAGGTTTTATTATTAATGATGTATCAAATGAGCTAAAATCAAGTTAATGTTATTTTGGTATGATTAGTTTTTATTTTATTATTTTAGGTTTGTTCTGGACTACGGTTACGTTGAATCAAGTGTTTATTCAAACCCGATCACTCTCATCCACAAAAAAAACCTGCATTCTGCATAGCTTCATGCAAAATACTACCAGAAGTAGCCACGGTATTCGAGGCAGACTGCGGAGCTAGATTGAACTGAAGCCACCATCAAAAATGCTTGTCGGCACGTCGGATTGATTCAATTCGTGAGTCAGATTGAACTGAATGTCTCCATCGAAAATACTTGCCGAAACGTCGGATTGATTAGAGATAGACCCGTGAGTCACATTGAAATGAATGTCACTATCGACAATGCTTGCTGGAACCTCGGATTGTTTCGATACTGATCTTGATACATATCCTGCAGGATTGGCATTCGTTCCATTCGAGTCAAGCATTTTCCAAACATCATCGTCAGATGGAGAGGACCCGAGCAGGAGAAAATAACTAATGAATACCTAATTCTGATTCTGATTACAAAATTTGGTATTGACCAGCATGACATAAGAGGTAAAATACCAAAGCATAATACCAAAAAATTACATGAAAAATACTTTTCAAATATCAAAAATTGATATTTGGATACCAAAAGAATACCTGGGTGGTATTGTTTTGGTATTGCATTATCATAATTTGGAATGGTATTGTGGGAACATTTTTTTGGTATTATTTTTTGGTATTTTACCTCTTATGTCAGCCTCATACATACCAATTTAGGGTATCGAGATATTCGTTCCTGATCGGGGAGTAAGCTTGCTTATTGGCAGATCCCTCGACAGCATTACATTGTATACTCCGTAGCATATGGGTTGAAACCACCTGCTGCAAACCACTTCAGCCATTACTTGAAACGCATTTTTAGATGCCATTTGCTTCAGCTGCAAATCCAAACTGGTGGCAAACAATGTAAACATGTCATCCTCTTGGGTGTTTTGCGGTTGAGCCATATTAATAACTGCATCGATAACAGTTTGGTTCTTGGCAGATACAGATCGGTCTCTTTTTTTTCTTTTTGCACGTTATTTCAAAACTAACCAAATTTGGGTAGAATCCACCCAGATCGGTCAAATCTGAACCTACCCAAAAATGTGTAAACTATGTTGGGAGTGACAAGTTGACAAATGGACAACATCGACATGGATTCGATTGAGCAATATAGGTACATTGACATGGAGGCGAAACACATTAGAAGAACGGACAGTTCGAGTGTGCTTCTTTTTGCATCGTATGTACTATCCAAAGTTGACCTTCACCTAATGAAAAAGGAAAGCGCTATCTGTTTCCCAGATCCAGCAGTTGCGTAGACATTCGGAAACTAAATTTTAAATTGTGAACGTATTTAATGAAAAATCTTTTGAGATCCTGCCAAGCTTTTAAAACTTAGCAGTCCTACAAATTACGTTCCCGGAAAAACTATCACCTGTGGAATAACCATTACTTCTTTATCTCACATTTACTTATAACAAACTGCACTAAATATACTCTACTCAATCCCAGAACACCATCCCTGGGATTGTATTGTAGTCTATGCATGCACATTTCCCACTCTTTATCCCGTTCGCTAGTGTCACACATCGCTACAATGTGTCACAAGCGTCCGACGTGTTGTCTCGTAGCCCCGGTATCCTCTGGCTGTGTACTCCGCATTTCTGTCTGTCCATTTCCCTGCCAGTTTTTTTTTTGCATTGTCTCACCTACTCTCCCCAAGAACCATGCCTATACCCAAAGTTCTTTGCACCTGGATTTGAATTCACCAACATAGGACGAAGGCACAATCCAAAAACAAACAAAAAACATTCAGATCCCAAACCCAAAGGGAGCCATCACGTGCAAAGAACCCGACGAACTTGGCACGAATGAAAACCGTCCCACCACTTGGTATGCATTTTCATTCTCCGCCAGGTGACAGTTGTTTCGGAATGTACCAACCAACAATAGAGTAGGAATCCGGGGAAAACAGTGAAAAGTTGACAGGATTCTCACCGATTTACTCCTCAATGACAATCGCTTCCGAATTTAAAATGCTCCAAATTTGTTTCTCGAAAGGAAAATTTCAATTAAAGTTAAATGTCTATGAATAAGCCAGTTTTCCGATTCAGATGAGCTGCATTCAGAAATTCCCATTGCTGCGTTGCACTGCCACCGTCGTCCGTCCATTCACTACAGGACTGACTGGGATGTAGGATCTGGAAACGACCGACAGCGACTTTGTCGCACCTGAGCTGCTGCCACCACCGCTCTGTGTCGGTTCTCTGTTGGTTTAAGTCAACCGAACGGACAGAAGTGTTTTGTTTCGCTGTGGGAGCTTCGCTGGGTAGTGGGAGCTTATAAAACTGGGTGGTTGTCGCGGTTGGTCTGCTGGTGGTGTAGTATTTAATCAGCTTCTGTCTTTTGATTTAGTAGGGAAATTGAAAGAAAAGTTTTCGGGTAGGTTGAGACCTTTTTCGCATTCAAACGTCAACTTTGGAAGGGTGTCGAGAGCTTTGCCGGTTTGGGAGTCAAGTCAATAATGGATAGCAAAAACTCACTCACCTGGAATCTGCAGCAGCTGCAGCAGGGTCAGCGCCGTTACGTAGGTCACCAATCCCATCTCGCTTACTCAGTCAATTAATTAACTAGCTTGATTAACTTTATCTACTATAATGCACTCTATTCCTTTCTTTGTATATGTCAGTTAAAATTTATGTAGTTTTTCTCGTGCTTCCACGTTTTTCGCTTCACCAATTTCCGGTATTTTATTCACACAGCACTTCTGTTTGTATATTCTCTAGTCTCACTTGCTCAAAAAAAAAACCCCCAAACAAGATCAACCTTCATAAACCACGTATCGCCGATAGTGCTATGGCGTTGTTGTCAGTGATGGTGGTGGTGGAAGTGGTGCTAGTGAGTCGAGTTAATTTGATTAAATTGACTATCGCCGTCGCCGTCGTCGTCGATGTTGTCGCACCTGTTCTTCCACTTCCGTCACGGGTAAAATTCACCGCTTCATTCGCTGTTGATGATAGGAGGAGGGATGCCACCTGCTGCCGACGAAAGGACGCTGGCATCGTGGTCCAAAACATGCCACAGGCAGTTTGGTCAGCATCGCCTTCGTCGCCGTCCCGCACTCGATGCTCTAAACCTCAACGTCGTCGTCGTCGTCGTCGTCACCGTCGATGAGGCCGCCATTCATACATGTACGACGAGGCAGGGCTAATTCCACACTACTAATATGTGTTCGCTGGTTGTGGCAGTAGAAAGGGCGGCATTCCCAGCAGGAAGTTGTTCCGGAAGAGCTGTCCTATTTTTTTTTTGGGAGCTAGTGGGAGGAGAAAATGGAGAGAGAAAAAAGAGGATCGTAAAAATAGTGCCGCCAAAGGTGGAGTTTTGGAGGGAATAATGCTAGATGCGGAAACTGTGAATGGAGAATCGAGTTTTATAGGGTTACGGTATGTAATGTGGGTCTAGTCCTTTCATTCGGCCTATCACGCAAATAAATAATTAATTAAGGAATATTACACAAAAAATAAGGAAAATATTGATCACTGATGGTTGATAAATGTGTACCACACACAAATCAATTTATATCACAACATTTCAATACATTTTCAGCTCTCGTAAGTAATAAAACTGGTTGAGAATATCACAATGTTCGGAGTTTTTAGCCGCCATGACTTATAAGGTTAAGATGGGAAGGTTGACTGACGATCATCAAATGGCCTGATTATGGCATTTATTGATTGGAATTACCTGATAATACACACTAGACGTAAAACTTACAGTTGCTGTTTGAATATTTTATGTTTATTTTAATTGTTTAACAACGTTTTCACAAGTAAAACATGGACCCAACTTTAGGGACACATTTCTTTTCTATGTTCCTAACTATGGCCCATGAAATTCATTTGACAGCATATAGCAATAAGAGTAACGTCAACAATGTTGTTTTGCATTTGGATGATAAGGAACGAACAGGAAGGGAGATTTTTTCTGCCAAACCTGTATAATGAACATCACAATGTTCTGATTTAGATATTCTGCGGTCAAAAGACGATAAGCGAAATTTTTAATTTTTAATTTTTAAATTGAGTGATTTAATGTAGTTTTCGTAAAATTTTCTCTAAGAAATGTTTTGAGGAATGAAGAGCATTAAGTTAACAGTGATAGTGATAAAAAAAAATACATCAGAAAACGTTACCAAGAGCGTTTTTTTGAGGATCAAACAAGATAGGACGAAGTTGCATCCATAAATAGACCCAATTTGGGGACAATAGACCCATATTACATACATTTCCCTCGTGAGTTATTGTCTTAAAAAAAGTAAGTTTTTCAACTTTTCGTGGTTTCTGATAGCAAACGACATGATAAGCATATCTAAGCATACCATTTAGCAGTAGAATATCGTTTGCAGGTAAATTCATTGATGAGTTATGATTAAAAACGTAATCGATGGCTGCATATTAGACCGAGGTTAGGGACGTATACCCTATATTGAGTCTTTCAAATATATACGTCTATACATTGAAGAAAGCTGACCTAAAATTTTTGTTTATGATTCCGATTGGTGGTTCGATGGTGCGAAAAGCCAGGAAGCGTCGTTATAAAATGTTGTTCCATCTTTCCCTAGCTAGTTTCTCAATATTATGAATAATTCCATAAAAGTCCTCATGATTTTCACTAGAATTCATCATGACCTACTCTAGGAATCCTCCAGATTTGCCTTAAAAATCCTCAGAAACTTGCTCTAGAAAGTATCTTGACTTTCCGTAGAATGGATTTGTGCTTGATCCTGGAGATCGCTGAAATAATTTTGAAAGTGCTCTTTGAATTGCCTTATCAATCGTTCTTAAGAGTTTAGGACTTGTCCTTAAAATCCTCTGAATTTACTCAAGGAGTCATTACAACATTCCTCAAAAGTTTTAGGAGTTATCTGGAGATGACGATGATTTACTTTACTATAGAGATTTTCAGCCATAGGTCTCTGAAGTTTCCAAGATCTCCCGGGAAAAAATAGCCATAAAGTCACCAACACTATATCTTACTGTACGTACATCATACAAGTAAAATTAGCGTATTGTTATTACATTTATTTTTCCTTGATTTGTTTTCCGTCGATCTCGTTACAAGAAGGATAACAGCAGCAACAGAAAGCTTCATAATACACACAACTCAACGCATCACGGTCATCAGCAACAGAAGACAGAAGACAGAAGAAATTCAGTTCATGTATTGTACGAATAAGACGTAGCATTAGCATCTTGCTCGATTATACGAATACAAATATTACGTAAAATTTACGAAACGAGCGAAAGAGAATTTACGAACAAATATTTTCAGTTTGGATTAAAACAACATTATGTTAATGAACGCAAATTTTTATTTTGTATATATTAGTTTGGCCCAAAATAGCACTTTGTCAAGATACCTGGGGAATCACCTTCCAAGTTATAGCTACGAGTGTTACAAACAAACTTTTGTAAGACGGCAACTTTGGAAAATGATGCCCCGAAGAAATTTTTGAGAAAAGTAAATTTTTCATACCTAACATTGAACAAATATTTTTCATTCTTCAAATTTCAGTAAAACCTAACTTTTTATATTTTAATAAACTTCTCAGATTCCAAAATATAAGAGAACAAAATTGAACTTTCATGTTTTGGGTTGCAATTTTTTAGATCCTTACGATTTTTTTAAATATTTAAAATTGTGAGTTTTTAGGAACATTATGGCATTTAATAATCAAAAGTGGGTATCAATGATGAATTGTAAGAAAAATTGGAAATTTGATGGAATTTTTTTTCCAAAGATAGCTTAGACACAGACAAACAGACATAACACTCGTAAGTTGTTCATCGAACAAGCATTTAATCAGACCCCCTTCACTCTTTGGCATTTAAAGAGACAGCTAACAGCGCCAAACGGTTTGTGACGAGACAACGTTGAACTGCAGCGTTGGAAGAAAACACTCACACCAACATCTAAACATGTACGAAACCACACAACTGAGCGGACAGTACAGCGCAAATCAAAACACGAAGCGGTGTCATCACTCATTGTCATCATTTAGCTTCGGCTACTTCCGTTTGCGTTTGCTTTCACCGGCGTTGACAAATAATTCCTACGTTATAAAATAGGAAAGTAATGATTATTTCAACGTAATTTTCTGAATAGAATGCGTGCTGCATTGGGCAAAGAAGACGGCACATTTTATTACGTTTAGCAATGATTTCGATACGTTGCATTTCCAATGTAATTCTTTAGAGAGAGTGAATGTTGTTCCCATGTTTACTTCTATGCTTATAGAGATTATTTTGAGCACCAGCTCCACGCGTATTTTTTTTTGTAAACAATGGCCTTAGCCGTCAATTTCTCGCAAATAAAAGCTCACATCTCCAAATTAACAATGCTAGCTGGTAAAGGAAACATTAATCTACCTGTAGGTGTCATTAATTTTCATGAGTGAGCTTTCATTTGCGAGAAATCGACAGCTAAAGCCATTGCTTACAAACGCAATTACGCCCCTTTGAAATGTCGGCACTGAATTACTATTAGAGATTTGCATCTTACTGATACCGGTGGTATATTGGAAACTCTTTCGCTCAAAAGCAAAAAATATTACAGGCATGATGCGATGATGGATGTGTGATTGTTTTCTCAAGTGTTTCTGTTGCGTATAAAGTGGTAATGATTGACAATCGGAGCAATCACAAACAAGCAAGAATCTTGCTATGAACTTAACCACCGTGACGTCATACTTTTCGTTCCAATTGGAAATGACATCCGCTGCGGGCAATGTTTGCAAGTCTGTTTTGAATAAAAGTTGATCCGTTTCATAGTCTTAAAGTAGTATTTCGCGGAAAAGATGACTAAAAAGTGCATTGTTCCAAAATGTAATTCAACCCACAAAACAGAAGGGGCTCGGTTTTTTCGATTCCCGTCCGTGAGAAGCAGTATGGTGGAGATATCCCAGCGGAGGTTCCGCGAATGGAAGAACATTCTCGGATTCCGAGAATGTTTTAATCCAAAAGATAAATATGTTTGTAACCAGCATTTCATTTCTGGTAAGTTGAATAATTTTAAAATATGCTGCAAGTATAGAATAAATATGTTTCCAGGGAAAGCTGCCAGGATTTCCGACATAAATGTTGATGATTGGGTACCTACATTGAATATCGCAAAAATCGATTCCGTAGTGTTGGATGATCTTACGGATCTCCTTGATCAAGAATGTCAGGAAAGTGCAGATAATGCTGATGAAACAGCAACTCGTTTGATTGTCAATCAGGTTGATTTCGAAACGTTCGTGGGAGGATTGTTGGAAGATACAGATTTAAACTGCACAGTAATGCCCCAAATCTCGCTTCCTCGTAATGAAACTCCTGGTTTCTGGAACGAGCAGAACGAAAATAATTCTTCATTCATTCTCGAGTGTAAGTACATTTTATGCTCTATGTTGGTATGTTATATATCTAGTATGTATTTGCAGCTGTTGACAAAGTCAATGATGGTGTTGTGCCCATCAGTACCAGCATCGGAAATTCAACCAGCTTTTCTGAGCAACGAAGTGATGCTCAATGTTGCCTGGAAAGAACCGATCATAACTACTGTAGAGTTGAACCGACATGGAACTGCACTGTGTTTCAAAAATATTCTGAGCAATTAACTTCTGTGTCCGATTCAACTGATGGCGTAGATGATGCAGATCATTCTCAGCAAGGTGTTATTATTTTTTAAATATGTTTATGCGATATTCTTACAGTTTAATATATGTTTTAGAGGCTTGCAGTGCCACGCACAGACGTGAGACATTCGATATAGCTGGACACAGTGCTCAAGGTGCTAGAAACACCACCATATTGAACCTGGAAGAGTTGAACAGGCTGCAGGAGAAAGAAAAATATCAAGATAACATCACGAAGGCGTACCAGAAGGAACTAGCGAGGCTACAAACGAGAGTAGACGTTTTGGAAAAGGAACTTTCGAATAAACAGCATGGTTTGCTTTGGATAGATGATGACCAGCGCTGTAAGCGATTCACTGGCATAAGTAGCTTCAAAACATTAAAAACGATCTTTGAATATGTCAAGAATTGCTTGTTTCAGCCTCACTGTGCTCTAACAAAGGATCAAATGTTCATAATGACTTTACGTAAACTGCGTCGCAACACACCGTTTGTAGATTTAGCAGATGAATATTCCGTTTGTACTACGACAATATCGAAATATTTTCATAGAACATTATTTGTTCTGTACGATACATTGAAATATGCCTTAGAGCCTGTTTCGAGAGATATAAGCATTCGCCATCTTCCTCAAATTAATCGGCAACAGTATGGATACAGTCGTGTACACATTATCGATTGCTTTGAGGTCACTACTGAAGAACCTATAGATGTTAAGGCTGCTCTTTCTCACCACAGCTCGTACAAAATTAGAGAAACTACAAAGTTTTTGATTGCAATGTCTGCTGATGGAAGAGTGTCTTTCATTTCACATGCATACGCTGGTCGATGCTCGGATCGAAATATCGCTGAAACTTCTGGATTTATTGATACACTTGAGCCAGGCGACGTTGTAATAGCCGATAAGGGTTTCGATATAAGCGATTTGATATCTTCGAAAGGTGCAATACTGAATATCCCAACATTCCTTCGAAAAGACTCACAGTTGAATCCCTTGGACATGGAGAGAGATAAGCAAATAACAACGTTAAGAGTACATGTAGAACGGCTGATTGGAGTGTTGAAGTCAAAGTACGAGTATCTGAACGGGCTTGTCAAGGTAGATTCTTTGAGACGATTCGAGAATAGCATCAATGCTGTAGATCTAGCCGTATGGGTGTGTTGCATATTGGTAAATTTTAATAACTCTATTGTGTAAGGTTCCGTGAATTTGTTCAATTGCATTTGCATTATTCATCATACAAGAAAAATAAAAGAAATTGAGAAAAACTGGTTTATTCGGACATTAATTTACAAAGTGGTTTCTTTCTCCGTGTAATAATTTCCCAGCAGCTCAGGAACAATTATGTTGTAAAAGTACATCTGGCTACGCTGCTTACAGTTCTCCCACAAATCTGCATTTCTTTCAACTTTTATCACACAACTTTCGGTCTTGCTCCAAACCATGAAGAGACCAAAGTCGGCTCCAGTTATGAACATTTGTGCTTGAATTTGGAAGTGATAAGCGTGACTCTCGACTATCTCAAATGTACCATCAGTCATCTTGATGAATGAATTAGGAAGAGCTGCCAACTTTTCCAGACCCAACTGCTCATTCAAAGAACATTTCGCATCTAATCGATAAGGGCATTTGATTTCAACAACAAATTTCCCACAGCACGAACAGCTGCCCATGCAGTCGGGTGATGCCGCTAGAAAAATGTTTTCTCGATCAAGAAATATTCCACAATCAGACAGTCGTAGGTTTTCATGTTGTTCAGCTAACATTTTACCCAAAGCTTTTTTAGCAAGTGGCTCATTCTTCCGGCCGTAGGCAAGTGCTGGTGTGTCAAAGTTCTTCATATACGGGTGGCATATTTTTTTTAGCAAGGTCAGCTTCGGTGGAGGATACTCATTCGATGTGTTCACCACTTGCTTGAGACATGAAGCTGTTACTCTTCCTGTTCGGACCCACTTCCAAAAACTGCAGTCCCTTTGCATACGGGTCAATTTCTCAACTAATACTACATCAGATTCTGTCAACATAAACTTGAATCCTCGTCCCAAATCTCTAAGATATTGTAGATTACTTGCACGTAGAGCGATGTTGAAGTTTCCTTGGAGCAAGATACTTTTGTTGGTGATGAGCTCATCGGGTACGTGATTATCCAGACAGGTATGGCACGAAAAGCTGACACCGTCACAAATCGTGTTTATAATTACAGCTTTTCCGTCATTATCACTCAGCTTCCTTAGCATATCGTCAAAATCAGCTCTTGTCTTACCAGCTACAGTATCATAGTAATACTTCGATGTTTTCCCGTAACTAACATCTCGAACTTTTTTGTACAGATCGGTCCGAATGTTTTTCGATGGCTGGCGCCAGTAGCATGGCATATCTGTAACTGTGACCTTTACATTGATTAGTGCATTATTTGATTCTATTAAAGGAATTTAAGTAATACCTTTCTATTAATAGACTGGGCATGAAGATTAGCTAATGAGTACAGGATGGCACTGACATGGGAGCAAGTCTCGCTTATACCGGCAACGCAGGTGCAGTGTGCATATATTATGTTTCCTCGTTGGTCTAAGATTATCCAAGGTTTCAACATACCTTCCCTCAGTTCCATCGAGTGGATAACCTGACAAAAGATTTAAAAAAATAAACTTACTATGTGTTACCCACAAATATGGTTTCTTACCTTTCCAACAACAACATGATAGCCTTCTCGTACAGTTCCCTGGACGGAATGCACGAACCCGGATTCGAATTTTTTATACCCATCCATACTTCGTCTATTCTTCATAGGATGACCAGTATATGGAGACACGAAGTTTAGAAGGTAATCGACAACATGACCAGTAGTAACCGTGGACGGGATATTCTGGTTTCCAAGCGCAGGGAAGGACATACTGTAAGGATCGTTATATCTAATCACTTTGATTTTTTCTAAATATCTGCGGTATACATTTGGTGTTGTTTTCGGCAATCCTTTAGCATATTTTGAAAGACGGCCGCCGATTGGATTGAGCTGGCTTAACTGCAACATTTTCAACGCACGCACGCGAAATAGCAAAATATGAGACACTCGAGAAATTGATACAAATAATCACAAATTAGTTTCGGAGTATTTAAATGCACTACATCGAACTAGTTTTGTTTCCAATGCATTGAAAAGCAACTACTCAGCTGATCCGGTTTGTTTGTAAACATTGCCCGCAGTGGTTTTGACATTTTCGAGGTTAAATGCGTTCGTGGATAAGTCCATCGCAATATAATGATGATGACTTCGAGGATGATATCGTCCTCTTTCCTCGTCCGGGTTGACATCTGTCATGCTAACACCTGTCAGTTATTGAGCCCTGGTGGTGAAGTTGGCGGGGAACTCCCAACAGTTTCAATGTGCACTCAACAGATAGCATTGCGATCACATAAGGGTAGTAGGCATATAGCCTTGTATGAAGAATTGATTAGTGGGATATCTTGTTAATTAGATATCTTTGATTTAATGGTCAATTTAAAAGTATCGTAATTGGTAGTACCGCAACCTGCGGCGCGCATAGTCAATTGCCTTGCGTTTGACGTTTACACACTACCGCCATCTGTTCAGCGTACTACCCACACAGTGTATTTAAAAGATGGCGGAAATGTTTTAGCGACGATGTTTTACAGTGATAAATATTCAATGTGTTATGTCTGTTTGTCTGTGGCTTAGCCCTATTTTTATCCATTATAAATTTATTAGTGATTCACTTCGGAATGAATATTACGCACTAATATGGCACATGGTCACTTTATGTTAATATAATTTAAGAATTGCCAAGCATTATTTTAAATATAGAATTTTTTTTGCCATCTGTATTTGCTCAATGACGTCATTTCGTTGGCGTCTGCAATGGGAAATTATCATAGCAGGCGTTGACGATGGAACGTTGTCGAGTTGTTGAATAGCAACTATCGTGGTAACTCACTGATTACCTGTCGATCTGCCAAATTTGGAAAGACGTCTTCATTGAATTGTCTCATATAATAATATTCCGCCCACTATATCACAAGAAATTGCGAGTAGCTGAGTGGAATAGAGATAAGTTAAGCATTGGGTACAGGACCAAGTCTCCCCTGGGTGGAACCAAAAGATGAGCGCAATAGAATCATCAAGTTGCCATAAGGCACGGAATGATACTATTGCATGGCTGGGTAGTCAAAGTCTTCCATTCGTTAGTCATTTCAGGTGGATTAGAACAGGTTTAGGTGGGCGTTGGCCAGATTTGGATTTTTCAGATGTAATCCTGGATAGGACCCTGTCATTGAACGTCGCGTGAAAGTGGAACTTAATGAAGGCCTAAGTACTTTTTCGTAGTTTTTAGTTTTCGGATTTGAAAGATCGTCGGTTACAGTGGCCTGCTTACTGAGCAGAAAAACGCGGTCCCAGGTCCTTACATATCAAAGAGATTTATGGTAAAATCGCTTGTGTATCGTGTATTTTGCAAACGTTTTTGCTTACTGAGCAGAAGACCGTGGGTTTAGTCCCAAGCTCCTTCGCGTTATATGATCGTTAGGACATCAATTCAGCTTATCGTTTACCAAAACGAACCCTGCTGCAAACCCAACCCTCTTATCCAACATCCCAGTGATTCCTCGTGAAAGTGCAGAGGTGTTCTCCATCAAAGCGAGTGTCATGTCAACACAATCCTTAGCATTTCTTTTTTGATCTGTGTTTGGGCGCGGCCGGCGCTGGTATTGCCTAATTTAAGATCACCAGTTTTTACACATTGAGGATGATTGCTAGTCCCAAGCATCGTCTATTGGTTCTCTGTGCAATTACAGCTGATCTGGCAATAACAGAGTAGAAACCGTGGGCGGTCAATCAAGCTCAAGCTCAAGCTCAAGCTCTATATTTGTATTGCAATATTCATTATCGTTCACGTTATTTATTTACCATTTTTATTTAATCCTTTTGTGGAATAATTATATGCTTTCTTAAAAATGAAACTTATTGTAAATCCGCATAAAACAAAACTCTTGCACACAAGCGCCTTCCATAATTCATTTTTAACGCCAGTGGAAACGTTCACTGGTTTGTGAGACTTGTTGTAAAGTCCAAGGTTCGAAATCAATCACACCAGAAACATATTGAAGCGAGACAGTTCAATCAAACGGTATGAGCGAAAAAGAGATAGAGTTTCAATCGGCTTCAGATCGTTGTTGATGAGATTTTTCGTTTGAAAAAGGTCGTTAATTACTTTCGGCCCTGAAGATTATGATCACGATTTGATCTGAGGGTATTTGGAACGTAAACTCGTCCATTTTGAGCTGGACCGTGGAAGAAGCAAAAGTGCGTGAAATTGATCATGTGCTGCGGTGTGTTTTAATTCGTACAAGCTGTCAAATCTTGGTTTCGCAGAAAGTCCTGCTGTGTCAGTTCCTGGGATCCTCCTCAAACAGGGAACTACAATCAAGCCAAAAAATTTCGAAGAAATGCACCAAATTCCCTGTGACGTAATCTTTAAATCCTTTTCCGTCATGTTTCGTCCACTGAAAAGCAGCACAGGTCTTAAAATCGTCACGTTCGTGGTTCGAGTCCAGCTGGCAACCTTTTTTTTTCGACATGGCTAATTTCACTCACTAATACACATCACATTTTTCTTTCTCCATTTTCTTGCAGCTCGGTATATCGCATCCTCGGTTCATGCGGTCTTCACCAATATCCTCTGATGAGGAATCCCACATTATTGTAATCGAATCTTACATCCTCCGGTTGGGTGCACATTTAATAAGAACAATTAATAGAAATACACTGGGAAGCCATTTCAAGGGTTGATCAGGTTTGAAAAATTTCCTAAAATTTAACAAAACATCCAATATTATAATAACACATGCAGGACGAGGGAGCCATTAGTTTTTTTTTTTCAATTTAATTTATTGTAGAAATTTATTTAGATATTTACGTTAAATAGTGATCAATTTGCCCCCGACTTACGGTACTTTGATTTAATTTTTAATACTTTTAAGTTCTTTGAATCTCCATGTAATATTTTTAAGAACTTTTGTTTATTTTTGAATACTTTTAACTACTTTAAATCCTCATTAAATAGTTGCGAATACTTTTATTCCTCTTTATATATTTTTGAGTCCTTAAAGTCTATATGGTAGAGAACTACTTTGGCCTAAGCGCCCATTTTGAGCCTATCAAGCAAAAAACATCAAATAAATCCACGATTTCGGCGTTAACAGGTAAATTATGCGTTTGGTACGATACTGTAGTTCAAATGCTACCGAACGAAGTTAATAAAAACGCGTGATATGAACGTTTGCACCCAATGTTCTCAAATACAAATGAAGCGCCCCGACCGAATCAATCTTCATACGATAGGCCGAAGTAAACTCATTGGCGTTTCAATGGCGTTCCAATGCGTTAGGCCGAGTTTGGCGTCAAGAAGCAGTGTTAGACTTTTAACAATATCTCAACAATTTGTTTCTCTTTATAAAGTCTTACGGTACCGTACGGAAAGGTAAATAACATTCTGTTTGGTGCTAAACTACGCTAGATTAAGAAATACTAAGTGCGGGTTGTGCTTAATAGGCCGGAAGTGTGTAACCCGACAGCCTTACGAGTTTCCCGTTTTTAGGAAAAATGGCTTAAGTGCCACTCCCGAGGGAGACCATCTACCGAGACTAGGGTTGCCCGACCGCATGAGACCTTTCGGGGAAGGTTCTGTTTTTTCCCAAGTGAATGGGCGGGAAGCAAGTCGGCTGTCGTTCGATTACGGTAAGGACGGAAATGCTAACGACCTATTGTCGAATGTAGCATTCACGAAGACGATTTCTGCCAACGATCAGTTGCTCTCGCGAATTTTATAATCACGGACAGACTTGACACAACACTTCGAACGGATCCCGTTCGAATAGAGAGATATCCTGGTTGGTTTCGGGGCCAACTTCCCCAGTAAAACTCTGCAAAAACCTCAAAAGAAAATGATCGGAAACATAAAAAAGGCCGGCGCACAATGCATACGTTTTCGGGTTTTTTGACAGATAATGCATGGACTAACTGTCAAAAAAAAACCTGAAAACGTATCCATTGTGCGCCAGCCTAAAGCCTTAAGGCCCAAACGCAATGTGGACGGAAGCGGAACGGAAGCGGAACGGAAGCGGAACGGAAACGGAAAGTTTGACAGTTGTCACAAATGACATCAAGAGGCCTAACCGATGTCGATTTGGTTCTAACTAGTTTTCAATCCGACAAGTAGGCATACTTTTCCGCTGCAGCTGTCGTTACGCTTCCGCTGTCATTGCGCTTGGACCTTTACATTCGTCTTTCTAGATCCGCTCGGAAAAGAATGTACAGAAACTTTTTATCTGTAGTGTATTGGTTTATTGAAAATGCATGCTATTGAGATTTAACTACTCCATGTTCATTATGGTTTATTTCCGTACTTCAACTTTATCGACAATTTATTATTCTAGGCCTTTCTTTCCATGCACGTAACCCATAGCTCATACCGTAGTAGGCTGTGTGATTTGACCCACGGGCAAATGTCGCAAAAAGACATTTCAATCGCCGTGGGAGTATCCCGGTGGACCGTCAAAATGGTTTTAGACCGAGAAAAGAAAAGACAACTATCACGAAGGTGGCCACAGGTCGTCTAAGGTCAGCTCGGGTTCCGAGCGTTATCGCTGCTATCAAAAGGAAGATTCGGGTGAATCCAGTGCGTTCAATAAGGAAAATGGCAAAGGAACACGGGATCAGTGACTTTACGGCACGGAAGATCGTAAAGGAAGATTGCGGGGCGAAGTCGAGGGCATGGAAAAAAAACTCACATGATTACCAACCGCATCCGGGAGCTACGAGTCGAACGATGCAAGAAAATCTTGAACTTCCAAAGCGAAAAAATCCGGTAATCCTGTTCACCGACGAGAGCATGTTTACCGTCGATCTCGTATCAAATTCCAGAACCGATCGGTATATTAGTTCTCTTCCGGTAAAAAACGTGGCCGACGAGCACAAGAACGTGTATCTGACCAAGCATCCTGCTAGCGTTATGGTGT